TTATGGCAATCTATTCGTCCGATCGGTTCACCAATTCCTTTAATCCTAAAATATTGTCTCTAAAACAGATCTGTGTAGAAACCACTGTGGTAGCTTAGTAGTTTATGACTTTTAATACAATGATATTTAAATTAAATTTTAAATTTAAAGAGAATATAAATCAAGTCTGAGTAAAAAGTTACTCGATAATAGTTAAATTTAAATCATATTAGAGAAAAAGTCAACTCTAAATTGGTTTTATATACTCAGAATAGAGTCGAAAGTCACTGAATTGATAGTTAGCAGTAAATCGGATTTGAGTAAAACTCACTCATTTCTAGTGACTTTAACAACTTTAACTTAGTTGTACTTACTAACGGAGTGAAAATTTCACTGAATCGGGTATGGACAGAAATTGAAACATTATTGAGTAAAATTGAGTGAAAAAATGAAATTTTTTACAGTGTAACTTCTCAGGGATGCAGCTTAGTACAAAGGTAAGTTGCGTTAAATCACATATTTTGGGTTCTTCCTGCTCTGTGTCGGTTCTTATGTGCAACATTCTGTATATCATATTCGTTATATTTTGGGACGCTGAACACGATCTTATTAGTAAAATTTACCCATGACCATGATATGTCTCAGAAAATCCACTATTTGGGTGAAAACTTGTTTCCTTCAATTTTGTCCAAATATATCATTTTCATTGTATTTTGAGGCGCTGATTAATGAAATTTACCTTTGACCTTTACATTTCTCAGAAAATCCAAAATTATTAATTATTTTACATATCAGAAAATTAAAAAATAATTACTTTTGTGAGCCTAGAAATCGGCCCCTAATGATGTTATGGGTCTAACGCAGCTTCATTAGAACATGTTATCTAAGGAAAAACCTCCTGGACATAGAAAATACACTAAATGACAACTTTTTTATTTTTTAAACTAATTCCATCTAGTTAAATAGCGCTCATTTAAAATAATATCATTCAAATTTCTGATAACTATGTTGTAGGCGAGCGGTTCATCCCTAAAAAGATGCTTCTAAATGAAGGTAACCGACTAAATTTTTAAAACAAAAACCTACAGCATGAAACTTTTTTTATTTTATAAAGGGTATTTTTCTGATAATTTACATATTTTTTTTTTATATTTTTCGACGTGGTCAGTCAATCATTATAAACAAAAAAGTTATAAAAAAATATTACTCGCCGAATGGCTTTGAACACCGTTTTGTAAAATGAACCAAAATAAACACTTTTTGTTCTTTGACAAAAATTCAAAACAATGCTTCGTTTCCAAGATATTTACAATTTAATGTGAAAAAGTGACGAAACGACAAACTTCCGGATTTTTTTTTTCAAAAACTACTGAACAGATTTTAATTCTAAAAAAGCATAATAATCGGCAGATTTTCTACTTTAAGATATATTTTTTTGGTATGGGTCAATTATTTTATTGAAGGTCTAAAGCGAGTAAAAAAAAACATTTCAACCCAAGAACTTGTCGAAAATAACGAAAAACTTATTATTTAAAAATTAAATAAAAAAGAAATTAATATACTTTTATTGCTCTTAATATTTTTGTAAAATAAAAATAACGTAATGATCATATACAATAAAATATCCAATAACTTTTTTATTTTTCGAGACCGCTAGGTCAATTATTATTATTAGGTTAATTTTACGATTATTTTTTAATTGAAATTATTTAGTTTAGTTTTGGTATAATTTTCAAGTCAATATTAGCCACTTATAAAACCAAAAATCGAATATTTAAATTTTACTAATTACTTGCAAAAACCTTACTCCGGCTACAAAACCAAACAAAATGATCTTTTGAACAT